CCTAGCCAGTTTGGTGAAACTTGCTTGGCTAAGTCAAATCCACCATCATTTGCCTAAGTCAATGGAACCTCACACTAAGCCAATGGAACAACGTGAATCTCAACCCTTCATGTGTTGTGTTGGTGACCCAACTAGCAGCTTGTTTAGTTCAAATGCAATCCTAGGAGTGGAGAGATCCCACAATACCTTCTGCACAAACAAAAGTCTAAGGACTTGACTTCAGAGTGTATCGTCATAATCGACCCAATATTTTAAATCACAGGATGTGGCATTTAGGTACCTGCCTCTTCAAATAGCCAATCACTGCCAAAATCAGGCTATAGTGGCTAGATTATACATGGGAGCAAATACCTATGCCCTACTCCAACAAGTAGAGATAACGGCAACTATAGCTGGAGATTCAAAACCATTATTATATCAAGACCAACCTCTTAATTAGTGGTCCCTTTGAGATCCAAAATCAATCGACCCTCCTATGTCCATCGAAGCCTTTTTTCCAATCAAGCGATAATACCACCAAATAACGTGTGAGCCTAAAGAGCAATGTGACAAATCAGGATCCTATGGGTTCCCCACTGGGCCGACTACTCGGTGTAATCCTGGGCCAGCCCAAGGTCTGGTTGAAGATACGGAACAAGGTGGCGTGATCTCCAAATAAACAAGGACCAACCTAGTTGGACATTTAGCGAAAATAGTCTCTGTAATAGAACTAGGATTTTCCAATTGTAACCGACTAGGACTAGAACAGCCACTCTGCCCTCTAGACTATATAAAGAGAGGCAGGCGGCACCCCTTGTAGAAACCAATAAATCAAACAATCCAACGCAAAGGCATCACGCACCGGACGTAAGATATTGCGTGCATCACGGCCTAAACCAGTATAAATCGCTTGTCTTCGCGTTTACCGTCAAGTTCTACATACGCTGAAGCCCTCCAAACTCTGTCCCGGGTAACCCGGTGACAGGTTGTTGGTCGTCAAACACTAACACATTGACACCTCCTATTTTACCTCAAATTCAAATCCCCTGTTATCATTTCTATTCAAGTAGCACCACAATGCAACGCCACTTGTTTATCCATCTACTAAGTATATCACAAACACAAAAGGAACTCATCAATACATATATGCATTGACGAAATCTCTAGTTGCCAGCAGGGGTTTCCTCTACTGTATTCCCCTAAAAAACGAAATCTAGTTGTAACAAGACAAGCAACCATTGATACTATTGATAAAAATGTCTCAATTTAACGAAATAAAGCTACAAACCGAAGCACCACTTATAATCCAATCTCAGTAATCAATAATTCATACTGGTTATCTTCATTTTCTACAAAATTTTCCTAACATAAACCTATATCATTTTCATTCATGAAATATGCATATATATCGTGCATAAAGGAACCAAAACCTTGGCACTCAAAAGGACACCCATTGTTCATCAATCTCCAACACACCCAACACGTGCACGATATTCTCCTACCCCAAATCTAGGGCGTATCTATGAAATTAGCAACTACAGGGTGCAAGAAATGAATGTAATACATCTCCATAGACCAATATATGAAGCATCTACAACACCTTTTGGAACTCTAACCGAATCATATCAAAATATTTTTTGTCTAGGGTTCAGATTAGGGTTTGCCAAAAGATTTTTTATTTTTAACACTTTTTTTAACTATTTTTAAATATAACACTGTTTTTTTCAAAACTAACACTTTTGACCGCGCCTATCGCATGGCGCGGCGAAATCACGTTGCCGCGCCATGCATGGGGGCGCGGTAGGAGCAGTGACGTGGCAGCGATCAGGGCGCTGAACGTTGACGTGGCCGGGGCTGCCGCGCCACGGATCTGGGCGCAGCAGTGACGCGCCACGGCGCATGGCGCGGCAAGGCGCAGGACGTGATTTGACGCATGACGCTGACAGCGAGCAGACTAGTCCTGCTTGTGGTTGGGCATGTTGGGGCTGCTCCTGCGTCCTGCTGTCTGCCACAGTGCCGCCCGCTAGCTAGCACAAGAGAACCATCGTGCGTACAGCTGTACGAAGACTTTCTTTTGTACATGACGTGGTTGTACTTGTACTCTACTAGACTATCTATCCCTCCGATCGGATCAGCTAGGGCAGTTGGTGCGTTCGGTGGAGTACTAGAAAGACGGAGGGCCAGTACAGGATTTAAACATAGATGCTGATGTTGTCGATATGCTATGGCAGAAATTGGTTATGCTGCCAAATAGATGTGCCTTTTCTATTGCCGGTACTTTTATGGTGGCTCATGTTGTGATCACTGATCAATCATGAATCACAAAATTGTTGGCCTTTCTAGCAAAGAGAGGTACTGAAAAATTGTGCAAACTTGACAACGAGGAACAGGATTATGAATTAGCTTAGCAGAACTGAGTAGTTGCTCCGGAGATACTACTGTGGTTCTCATAAATATGAAAGTAACATAAGTCTTCCATTTAAAACATGCAATGACATATCTATTTTTATTTCAACAGAGTTACATAGCAACAATCAACAATATTTGAGAAAACATTTAAGGGTGCAAATATATAGACCAAGGTAGTTTAGAGGACGCTCACCGACTGAAATAGCATCATCATCTCAATATTTTAGAATGGTTAACTAAAAAATGATTTAGCTGTCAATTTTCAATTGTGGAAAATGTTAATTAGTCTCTAGTCACTACTTGTAGTTTGATACGGCTGCATAAATTCAGTAATTTGGCACGTAATCCATCTGGACTATTGTAGAAAAAAGAAGGTAAAATACATTTCAGCAAATTGGGAGACTGCTGGGAAATTGGGAGGGTCACTCCTCTTACTGAAAATAGATGCATTCCCCGCACGTTGCCGCGGTATTTAGAGGTGAAATTTCGATGTGAAGGATGCAAAGGTTAATGAGTTAGATTATTCTGTAGAAGTCTTTCAGAAATGTAAAGTAGAAAAAGTTTGCATTAGCTTGTAAATTTTTACTATAGCCAGCAGAATCCAAAAGACATTGACAGGTAGATTTATTTTGCTTAGTGTTCTAGGGCCAATTTGACATTTAGCATAACATATCGATAAACAAAAATCAAGTATATTCTTCTAGTTCCAGGCATGCATTTAAGATGATTTTGTATATTTGTTGAATATAATACTGTAAACAGTAGGAATTTTGTCTCGTATATTTTGACATTGTCCTTGAAGACTCCAATTCTTCGACGAATATTTGCTTCTTCTTTATTATATAATTGAGTAGGTACTCTATTGATATTGGGTATTTGCATGATGAATATGTAATTTGAAATTTAGATATAGGTAGTCTTCAACGTACTATAGCTCATGCATCTTCTAAAAAAAACTTATAAAGAAGAAAGTTACATAAGAAAAAATAAATCTAATAGAAAAAAATTGTCTCACTTCATAATCTGCATAACATACATAAGGAAAATGGCATAACACTTCCAACTTGCTCCAATCGCGCTTGCAGATTTGGTACTACTGCGCTTGTGCTAGCTAGCGGACGGCACTGTGGCAGACAGTAGGACGCAAGAGCAGCCCCAACCTGCCCAACCAGGTAAAGTTCGAGCTCCTTAGCCTTTGATCTCTGCTCGCTGTCAGCGTCATGCGTCAAATCACATCCTGCCACAGTGTCCCGCATGCAAATTTCTAGTCCTAAAGAAAGTCTTCGTACAACTGTACGCACGATGGTTCTCTTGTGCTAGCTAGCAGGCGGCACTGTGGCAGACAGCAGGACACAGGAGCAGCCCCAACCTGCCCAACCACGAGCGGAGACTAGTCGCTCATTGCCGTCATCATGCCACAAATCACGCCCTGCGCCTTGCCACGCCATGCATGCGTGGCGGCGTCCATCGCTGGCAGCGCCTAGAACGCGGGGCGCGACAGCCCGGCCACGCGTCGGCGTTCAAGCATACACGGTCACGCTGCCACGTCACCGCTCCTACCGCGCCCCCATGCATGGCGCGGTAACGTGATTTCTCCGCGCCATGCGAATAGGCGAGGCCAAAAGTGTTAGTTTTGAAAAAAAAAATAAGCAGTGTTATATTTAAAAATAGTTTTGAAAAAGTATTAAAAATAAAAAAAAAATCTCTCAAAATGTAGACCAAATCAAGAAAATTTATTGGAACAAATAGAGTAAGGTGAGGGAGGTCACTTGCACGGGATTGGGAAAAAACACTTGAATTGAGCCCGTTTTGAGGGAGGACCGGAGGAGAGAGAGGGGGTTCAGCTACTCTATGTTTACAACAGATAATACACACAGAGGGCACGAAGGAGTTGCAGGCACACAGGCAGTTGAGTCCCCAAGCACGGCGCTAAGGGGTGCAGCGTCCTGACATAGAAGCACGATGCTAATGCATATGGTGTTGTGCACAACATAGGGGGCTCACCAAGTCCGATGCACGTCGTAGAATTGTAGAAACACCACGCCATCAGTCCATCACATCTATCCTCGGCACGGTACTGAGGATCCTTTTAAGCATAACCTTTCGCCATGGGTCCAAATATAAAATGTCATAGAAAAGGGGCAGAAATTTGCCTCAGATGTAATCATGTAGATAGTGTTGCATCCTTCAGATATTTACAAGATCTGGCATATGGTGGCATGATCAATTGATCACATGAGCCAGCTTGTTTACTGAATGCAAACAACGATTGTACCTGACATTCAGGTTCCTGCTACATACAGCTGCACAAGTAGAGCTATACAGACTATCTACAATAGCGTTACTAAAATATACATACACATGGTGCAGTAAGCTGCCTCGTCTGATCTAACAAAGACTCAGCTATGGTACATACATCGCCTGCGAAAGCAGCTGCAAAAACCATCACGAATCCCAGGTCCACGAGCAATGCTAGATTTAACAGAAGCTCCCCCTCTTATGACGGGTAGGTATCACGTCTCTTGTTGGTGCCACTACAGTATCTTAGAGCTGGGCTAGCAAGTGGTCGTCCTCAGCAGCTGGTGCCACTCCATCAGTAGCTCAGTGCTGGGCTAGCAAGTGGTCGTCCTCAGCAGCGTAGATTTCGCAGAAACTTCGGTTGGCCTCCAGATTATGCTGTCAAGTTTGCTGCATAGGTTCTTGTAAAACTGCAGTTGGTTTAAGATGCAAGTTATCAATCATTACAAGACTCAAATCACAAGGCATAATGGAGAAAAAACGTAGACTAGTACTTATTTAATGCCCTGCAACATGATTACTGCAAGGATGGCATGCAAACAGAACAGACTCTCAAATCACAACGCAGAATGAAAAAAAAATCATTTAAACTAGTACTTAGTTAATGCCCAACAACATGATTAGTAAAAGGATCAGATACAAACAGAACAGACCCTGTGGTATTCCAGAGTGTCACCGGCAACCTTTCGAACATCAACCATGAACAGAGAAGGAGCAACTTCAAAAACCTGATTCAAGTGCACTTCAAAGCATGAAAATGATTGCATAACATTTTGTAAAGACAAGTGACCAACTAATGCGCTGCATGACTTCACCTCTAGAACAACAGCAAATTGGCTCATTCTGTTTAATGCTGCACCTTCAAGCCGCAGCTGCAAAGTTAGTAAATATGTATCAGTACATAGAGATAAACAAAAGCTAAACGTTTATCCAGCAGATATTTTTTGAAGCAACGTTTCAAGTGTACCTTGTAATTCTGGGAGTGGACCTTGAGACCCATTGACTCAGCAACAACTTCAATTGTAGCTACTATAGTCTTAGCTGGTTTTCTTGAGACAAAACGTGTTTGCCGCTTGACAAACTCCTACAAAAAAAATCCATGTGATGCAAGAGGCATTAGATAGACCAAATAATAAATCTGTTATCCATAAGCATTGAGATATGCGTACAGCAAATTCCGACCGCGTATTAAGGAGATAATGAAACAAATGAAGAGAACACAATAGGATCAATGTCTACATATAGATAAAATGAAAAGTAGATCTGCTACAAGAATTAATCGCGGATTCCTATTGAGATATCAATTGCAGCAGGCAAATACTTTTCGACAATGGACAAGTTGTTTTAAAATTTTAAATACGAAATAGTTGCTTAAATCTTGTTCCTAATGAGATATTAAATTGTTTGGTTCAGTTTTGCTACTGAACTATGCCTGGTTGCTCAAAACTGTTAGTTGAGTGTTGCTTAAGTCTATTATTGTGTCACTGAAATGTGTGACAGTGTTAGCTCGGTTCTCGAATATTGTAAGATGGAATTCCCAGTCTGTCACATAGTATTTTGTTTTCAACATAAGCAGGGCCAAGGTTTCTTCTCTGTTCCCAATTAATTGTTTAATGTTGAATCTGTATCGATCAATTAGGATAATTAAATACTCGCAAAAAAAAGGATAATTAAATAACTTTCCATACAAGAACAAACAGGAAAAGAGAAGGGAAAATAGCTCAGGTTACATCGTCTTTGTTAAAGAGGAAATATACTCTGAGTTTATTTTATTTCTTGTGGCTACTTTATGGAAAATGGGGGAGTAGGAAACACCAGCAAAACATCAGGTAGCACAGATGAAGTGGTATAAAATATTACTTGATGGGAAAAGGAGCCAATAGGTTAAATTCAAAACTTTTCACATGATTGTCACACGAACACTTCAATCTTCATTGTGTGCTAAGTACAGCATAATGTTAAATGGCTGTCATGTATGGCCCATTAGGGTCCATCCGATGTAGCAGCCACAGTGCTAGAAACGGTGCACTGATAATGAGTGTTCAAGCAGAAAACAGGTGGCACTGTTGACAGTAGCTCTATTTAGAGATAATAGCGTATGTGGGCTCGTTCCAGGTGAGGAGCTGGCCGTAAGCAAATTTTGGACACAGGGTGCTACAATTAGATTGAGTCATTCATTCCCTTAATTTGAGATATTAGTTTCTTAATGGTCAAGACAACTCATCTACAAAAGGATGGGATTGTATCTCTTTTTATTAAGTAAGAAACATATCAAGATTCCTAGAGTCTCCTGTATCCCTTCCCTTGTGACGCGGCTGCCAGACATCAGGTTGTGCTGCTTGGGTTCAGGGTTATCTAAAGTATGCCCATGACAATGGTCCACTATGCTGAGTAAAAAGAGTTGCAAAGTACCTGTTGCCTATCAAACAATGCTGAGAGATCCAAACCTTGAGATAGTGTAATCATCTCAAAGGCATTCATCATAAGAGGACCACCATCCTTGTGAGTTACTTCCTCAGATACATACTTGTCCTGAGAAAAAAGAAACATAGTATAAAATCAATATTAGAAGGAAAAACAACTTCAAATGGACAATAGAACCATAGGGATCTTTCTGGTGACTCTGACCAATTTCTCACAAACCTCAATATTGTCAAAAACAGCTTGAACATCATCCAGGCTGACATTTTCATCTTCACCACGTCTGATAGCTACATAGTTCTTCTCAAACCATGGGTCTGCTCTTATTTCTTCAATAGTGATACGCTGGAAAGAAAGTGCAGAGACAAGAGAAACTGATACCATCAATTTATTTGTGAATACAGATGACTGAAATGCTACATATTAGGTAAAAGATGCTTTGAAATAAATGTATATAATTTTTTGTGGAAAGTTCTTATATTGATCTTGTATATGGGGTTTCCCAAACACATGTCAGAACATCAATATAAACAAATATATGATAAAATACTTGTAAAGAGTTTCGCACACTATAGGCCGAAAGTAACAAAGAGTAACTGATGATCAACATCTTCTGAAAGCTTAAAGTTACACGAAAAACATTGTTTAGAATCAAAATACTAGAAGATGAAATGAAACAAGTTTGTTCTTTTACTTACAGTTCTTGGATTTGGGTCAAGTATTCTCTGGATCAATGACTTGGCTCCTGGAGAGAACCAATATGGGCATGAGTACTGAGCTGCAGTTATCTTGAAATACAAAAGATGAGGAGAGGGGTTTCAGTGTTAGATGAGCCAAGTAATTGTGCAAATCAACAATTTTAGGAGACATGGAGATATTCAAAATTTCACACTTGAAAAGAAGCTGATACCTTTTCATACAAACTTGGAAGGTCATTCTCCTCAAAGGGAAGGTAACCAGCCATTAAAACATAAAGAATGACACCACATGACCAAATGTCTGCTGCAGATCCGTCATATCCATTGCTACCTAGCACCTAAAATAGTGATCCAAGTTAGAGTATATAGAATATTATATGTACTGAGACACTCATGATTTTATCTGAAAATGATGTCAAAGATAAGGACAGTGACAGACACAACTGACACTAGTGAAGAACATGCAACTAACAACAGCTTAGAATGAACATGGCAAAAGGAATCTGCAGCTTTTCATTATAAAAGAACAGCATCCTTCATAACTCCTCCTGAATCGGACCCTCACATCAATCGTCAAGGAACCCTCTAACTTATTATGCATATATTTTGTCACAGATTTTCTTGAAAGAAAGCTCCTGCTTTGTTCAAAAGATAATCTTAAATGATCATTTTTTGTATTTTTTGTTTGATCTTGTTTCAATAGAGAGCATTTCACCCTCCATACATGTTTACACCACTTAGTAATTTTAAGTGCAATCCGTACCTCAGGAGCAACATAATTTGGAGTTCCACATGTCGTGTGAAGGAGTCCTACTCCCTGGGGGAAGCTCATTATTAGCGCATTAAATTAAATCATTAATATAAGTCGGCAGTACAGCAATAGAAATCAACAAACTTACATTCTGAGACAGTGTGCTAAGTCCAAAATCAGAAACTTTTAAGTTTCCACATGAGTCAAGAAGCAGATTTTCAGGCTACAGAACAATGCCCAAACTGTCAGTGTAATAAGATAGGTAATTAATGAATAGCTAAAATAATACTTTCATCCATTATCAAAGAGAGACCTTCAAATCCCTATGATAAACTCCTTTGCTGTGGCAATAATCAATGGCATCAATAAGCTGCTGGAAATACTTCCTGGCTTCATTCTCACGTAGCTTCCCATGGCGGGCCTACAAATATTTGATGTTATCCGTTACCATCGATTTATATTTAAAAAATGATTTAGGAACCTGGAACCATGTGAGCTATGTGTGTTCACCACCCAGGTTCAGGTCTTCTCCATCTCAAATTTGGGTCCCTATTTCTTCATAACATTAAAGTCACCTAGATCCTTCTAGGTTCATGGAGTTTTTTAATTCACGAAAGGAAATGTCATGGAGATTCTTACTATTTTATCAAACAGTTCACCTCCAGTGACAAGTTCCAAGATTATGTATATCTTTGTCTTCCCGGCCAACACCTACAAAGTAATAAAAATGCGTGTAAAGAAAGGAAACCAGGTGATATAGAGGGCTATAATTTGTAGGAATACAGTTCTAGTATAATACGATTAGATAGGTAAAACAGAGAACTGTAAGCACCGTTATGGCAAACCACATACCTCATTAAGCCCAACTATGTTGGGATGTCTTATTATCTTCATGATTGATATTTCCCTTTTGATCTGGCAGCAAACAAGTAGTAAGCTCACTGGAGCATGGAAACCAAAATAACTTCATATTTTTTAATAAACTGACAAAAGATATTTGGTTAACTGGTAAAAGGTAATCCTCAATTCTTGAGAGAGAGAAAGAGAGAAGGAAGATACTGTTTTGTGGGCTTGGAGTATTTTGATGGATGCAAGACTCGATGCTTTCCATTGCTAGTGATTCTACTTTGGCCGGTAGTAATTGTTGGTGTCACAACATATTAAACCTAAAATGCAGATCTCTGTTGCTGTCATTGGAATATGGTCTAAAGCTGTCGAAAAAGAAAGTGATGATGATCGGGCTGGACAGACTTTTCTCTTTTTAATCATTGGAAATAACCAATGTCCAGACTCGTATAAACAGAACCTGCGAAATGCCAAAAATGGTTTAATCAACCTGGCCAACGCTAATCGCACAAGATACTAGGATAGATTCACTTCAAGACATAGAAACAAAATACTTCCACCCCTTTTTGGTGGCGGTGGTCAGACAACCCTGAATTCAACCCACTTGCCGGACCAAGCGCAGCGATCCTACTTGTGTTAGTGGAGCCGAATTCTAAGATGACCTGTTCTCTCTCCAAAGATTTTCCCCCGAAAGGAACATCGTAGCTGAAATCGAGTGTGGGAATAAGACGGGTAGTTTTTGTTCTGTTCAGGAAAGGGGAAAAAAACAAGTGACGGTGATTGGGCTTTAGCCTATTGGTTTGCTACTCGCAAGTTGCTAGGATCACTGTGTGGCTCGCGTTGGTATATTCGGCTCGGTCCCGCACCGGAATTCGGCGACTTTTTCCGACAGAACATTCGACGATTCCGCCTTGTATGTGCCTATAGGCAGCTCGTCCGGGATCGAAATTTTAAAGGCAGCTTAATTAAATCCAGCGAAAATGGCTTTTCTCGAAAAAGAAAAAATTAAAAATCAAGCTCAAACGTGCAGTATAGGAATCCAATTTGACATGGTGATGTTCCAGCGCCTCCCTGAAAATGGGGAGCGGATGAGGACGGACGGATGAGGTACCTGGTGGAGCATGCGGTGGGTGAAGATGGTCTCCTTGTCGAGCACCTTCATGGCGACGGCCGCGCCGGTGTCGGCGTCGACGGCGAACTTGACCTTGGCGAAGGTGCCCTGGCCGATGGTCCGGCCCACCTCGTAGCGGCCCACCCGCTTCTTCCGCCCCGCCGCGCCCGCCATTCCTCCCTCCTGCCCGTCCGCCGCCTGGTCCTCCTTGCCCCGCGGCGGTGGCCGGTGGGATTGGGTTTTGGCTCACGCCCGCCCGCGCGCTCGTGGCCGACTGATGTGACGTTTGGCGATGCCGGGGACCGGGCTGTGTTTGTGCACGGCGACAACTGAGAAGGGCCGAGCGGCGGGGTTGGCTGTATGCCTGTATATAGGACGGGCGGCGCCGTCGTTGCCGCCGCGTGAGTCAGCAGCTTCTGTGGGTCCGTGTGCTCCCTGATTTTACTCCCTCCATAATTTTTTTTTAAATCTCGCTTTCAAAGTAGTCAAAAAAAACCTTTAAGTTTAACTATGTTTATATAAAATATTATCTATATTTAGATTTTCAATTAGATTTATTATAAAAATATTTTGTAATTAATATAATGATACTTATTACATACCATAAACATCAAATTTTTTATATATTTAGTTGAAATTAAAAATCTTTGGTTTCTCCAGAAATGAGATTTACAATATTTTTAGGACTGAAGGAGTATTTATTTACCTTGAGGTTTGAGCTGTAGCCCTGTGGACTAGGGCGTTGGGTGGTTATTAGGGCCTGTTTAGGACTCCATTCGAGTAATAGGAGTTTAGAAATGTTCTTTTTGTTTTAGTGAGACTCCCTGGTTTCAAAAAAAAAAATAGAGGTCAAACAATCTCATCTAAATCAAACAGAAAAAATTACTAATATTTATGAAACATCGTATGTATCACTATGTTAATTATGAAATATATTTTCATAATAAATCAATTTGAAAATAGTACTATTTTTAAAAATTTAATCAAACTTATAATTGTTGGAGTCCTAAAAAATGAGATTTCCTTTTTAATAGAGGAGTAAGAGTTTTGGTAGGAAAAGGAATGGTAGGCTAGAATCAAACTGTCACCGATCACTTCTTAGGGAGGAGTGGTACTTAAGTGAAAAATTGTGATTTTAGTGAGAAACAATGCATCCTCATCGTTTATTATAATTTGTGATATGATTTCTGCCACGAGATACGAATACACTTGAATCCGCGCACTTATTTCTCTCCATTAACTAATTAAAAAATTAGAACTAATTGTATACCAACGCGAGCCACACATAAAATTGTCATCTTAATTCTCTGGATCGACTCCCACCACTAATTGTAAACTCCTTATTACAAAAAGTTAACAAACCCTATTTGAACTAGGAAAAAGAATGTTACATTTATTTTAAAAAAAGGTGGGACAATTAGCGCACTACTACTTTATTTCTCCTTTTTTAGCATGGTATACGACCCTACTTTATTTTGCCCAGCAAAGGAAGCACGTGGTGTAACCTCCAGAAAAGATACAATTATATTTTATAATTGGAAAAGAGTTGATCTTTTATATTTTGGTACGATAGCAACTAATTGAAACACATTTTTAGCGCGTACTTGCACTACAGATAGGCCATGTTTGTTCCTACAGATAGTAGTTATATGCAATAATTATTATTTTTAATTCAAATAGGTATAGATAATAGACTAGCTAATTGTTAGTTTAAGCTTTCGATAACAACCATCCCACTTGTTTTTGACCAAATCAGATAATGAGCTATTAGCCAGCTAAGGCCCTGTTTGATCCATGGGGCTAAAGTTTAGTCCATCTCTTTTAGTCATCTTTTAATCCTCATGGATCCATACAGGAAGGCTAAACGTGGGACTAAACTTTAGCCCACCCCTTTTCCATTAACCCCTCCAAGGTGGGTTAAAGAGGGCTATGGTCCTGTGGGGGCAAAAGACGCATATTACCCCCACTCATCCCTATACATGACTGTGCATAGCTATAAATTAAGGGCAAATGGGTTATGTTATGGTACATGACTAATCTTTAGCTCCTAGATCCAAACAGTCCCATAGGCTAAATTTTAGCCCATTCATTCTAAGGGCTAATCTTGAGCTCCATGGAAGGCCTAACTATTATCAAATAATGAATCAAACAGGACCTTAATAGCAGATGAAATGACAAAATATGCCTTGGACTCTTGAATGTGGGGGTACTTTTGGATCGAACGCTTATCTAGAACTACAGAGTTACAAAACTTAGCTGATTAAATTTCTTATGGTGGAACCCGTTTATCTAGATTTAAGTTCTTGACTTTGGAGATGTCGATATTTTCTAGAATTTATTTCATGATTTATAATGGTACTATTTAAAAAAATGTTAGGTGAGGACCATCCTCATGAGTCAACTACAGGCACCACGGAAAACGGAGATAGTATTACTGTTGTTTGAAGAACTTGTATGTGAGGGTTTTGTCTAAGAGTAATAATAACAGAAGAAAAATTCAGCCGGTGGAGGGACGTCCACCCACGTACGTAACGTAACCATATTGGATTGTCGGTAGCTTTGCGCTTTTGCCTGCTGCCTCGTCGGCCGCACTGCCGAAGGGTGAGGTGATTGCAAGAGCTGAGCTGCCCGAGCCCGACCAAAGAGCAATTCTAAAAAAAAAATCGGGTTAAGGGTGACACCCCGAGCTATTTTAGTTTAAGTTAGAGGATTTATCACCTAGCCCGAGAAAATCTCTCGAACCCTATGCCTCGCCCGCACAGGGGCTCATTACCCGACGAGAGGGCCGATCCATTTTACATTGCTTTGGGAACGCGAGACAGACGAGAGGGTTTTTTTTCACACTGTCGACCAGAAAATTCACTTGACAAGGATTTGAACTCTAGTCACGGGATACGCCACCCGAAGGCTTGACCAACAGGCCTAGCAACCGTCAATTAGCTCTTCTTTTGCAAAAAAAAAAATCCTTAAACTATCTTTTGTTCGTTTTCACTCCTTTTAGATGCTGGCAAAGCCAGCGCGAATTGAACGCATAGCTGGTTCTTCGAGCCTGATTGGTTGGCTACTAATTTTTGTCCAATCAAAATTATGGTAAGCCAAAATTTAGACTTGTCAAAATCAAGACTTGCCAAAGTTAGAGCAAAAAATATGGATGTGCATTTAGTTGACTACTATAACAATAATAGGAAACACTTTTTCTCTTTTATGCAATTTAAGAACTTTCAAGAGACTTGTCTAAAACTTTGGCTATAAACATCGGCGTGCCAATTCTTTAGCAATGAACCGATTAATGATTAAAAAATTTGACACACCATGATTTTGAGTGGGCAAGAATTAGAAGACAATCAATCAGACCCTTCAAGTCATCGCATCCCAGCCCGAGCCGTAGCTCGGTTGGTGAGCTCTCTCGGAGTGGAGGCCACCGGTCACGGTTCGAGACTGCTCGAGCGCATGATTTTCTCTTCGGGAACAGTAGTTTTCTATATAAATTTCGTTGCCTCACACATAGATGCGCCACAATGTTCAGGATGATGTGCCCGTCATGTACGAAGCCTGGAATACTTTGGATACCTTTCAACCACGTGCAAGCCTCTTCGTTAAGGTATAGGTCTAGCTTGCGTACTTGGGTGTATGTGAGTTTATGCGCGTGTGGTGGTGTAAGTTAGTGCGTGAGTTTAAATACTACAGCCTGTACTAAGAGTTTTTTTTATGCCTCAAACTCTTCAAGTACAAGCTGTAGTATCTGAACTCACATATTAACTCACATCACCACACGCACACAAACTCACACACATTCTAGTACGCAAAGCTAAATCTATACCTTAACGAAGAGGCTTGCACGTGGCTGAAAGATATCCGAAGTCTTTCAGGCTTCGCACGTGACAGGCACGTCATCCTGACCATGTGACGCATCCACGTGTGTGACGCAACCGAATTTATATAGGGAACTACTGTTCTCGATGAAAAAATCACGCGCTCAAACATGCTTGAACCGTGACCGATGGCCTCCACCCTGGAAGAGCTCACCAACCAAGTTTTTATTTTATATAGGAAGTGCCTTACAGCTCGGTCAGAGCCTCAGAGGCAGTTAAGCAATGTGGTTAAAATTTGGATGCGCTTGCGTGTTTTCTAGGAGTAGTCTAGTACTAGTTCAGGCGAAACAGCGGTACCTAAGGCTTCGTTAAATTAAAAAGACAGCGGTATCTAGGAAGTAGAAAACAGCGGTACTAGAATGACGCTGAGGGCCTGAGGAAGAATGGATTCGTGAAGAATCTTTTGCGGGCAGTAACTCACACACGAAGGCCCAGCCGCCAAAAGGTCAGTGCAGTCACTTTACAGATCACTGTTGGAGTATTCCGCGTAGGTCTTATTTAGGCTATCGGTACTCGTCGACCTCTATTTCCATTAAAAAAAAATTCTATCTTAATCATCAAGATTCTCTATTCTATACCTATTTTTTCCGCACCCGTATTATCTCTATCCCATGCTCTATATCCATTATTCCATATTTTATTTCCCTCCCTCACCTTTCTCTCTCTCCCTAACTCGCTCTCTAACTGCGACAGTGTTGCTACAGTGTTTAGCATGGCTCTTTCGCGTGCGCGGTCTATGGCGGGTTTCTGTGCAGCCGGTACGCTCCCGGGGCCTTTGCAGGCGCGCGGTACGCTACCGCTGGCGTACCGGCCGCTTTAGCGCTCTGCGGTGCGGTCAGCCTTAGATTGGGTTAAGTTTTTTCGCTCTCTCTCCATCACATCAAATCTTTAACATATACATGGAATATTAAATATAGATAAAAAAATAATTAATTATACAGTTTAATTATAAATTACGAGACGAATCTTTTGAGCCTAGTTAGGCCATGATTGGACAATAATTGTCAAATACAAACCAAAATGCTACCGTGCCAAATACTGATTTCTAGCCTTAATCTAAACACGGCCGTAGAGTGGAAGCCTGTTCGGCAGGACTGAAAAATAAGTTAAAATACTGTTCCGACTGATTGTTGTGAGAGAAAAATACTGTTATGATTAAAACACTGTTCATGTTTTCATGAGAGCGCTGGGCAGCCCAGCCAAACGCGGCCAGCCAGCCGAACGCGCGGGAAGTCACAACCTGCAATGAGCCTTATCTTGAACACGGTCAGGTTTCTGGTTTTTTCCACGAAGAGACAACAA